TATTTTCCATTGCATTATATGCCCCAGTCCTAGTCAGGCCCATGACAAGTCCCACTGAAGTTAGTGGGACTCCCTGCAGATGCAGGGATCTGCTCACATGAGCCATGATGTGGAATGGTGTCGCATTTGCAAGTGCCACGCCACCCGTAGTTTAAAAGGAGTGCACTGCGATAAGGGCCTGATCCTGCTCTCACTGAAGTCAACAGTAGCTGTACCATTGACTCCTGTCCAAACAGGATTGGCCATTAGGTCAGATCTCTTATGCCCAGGGACATTGGCAGATTGTTTTGACTCTTTGGGCCTGAACTACCATACAGAAACATTTTCTTGATGTTAAAAAGAAAAAAAAAAATCCAATCAAGCAGCTTTTTGTTTGGATTTAAACCTCCCCCTTCTCTGTTTGGAACTCAAACACTGAACCAGTGCCTGAGGACCAGAACCAGACTATAAAATGATTATAAACTAAAGTGAAATGGGACTACTCTTCTGTACTGTCCAAATTGAGTGAAATACAAGGAGCAAACAAACTGCAGAAATACTGTGAAGTTGAATTTTTTTTTTTAAATCAGTTTTAATAACGTTGGGCAGTAATGCTATAGAAAACTAAGTATTTGTTTTAAAATCATATTTTAACTCAATAGAATTCCTTTCAATTTGAATTTCTGCTGTCTCATTTCTGCATGCTGCATCACACGGGGGCTTTTGCAGGATCTGTGTAAAGGAACATTAGTAGCCCTTACATACTAGTTTAGATGGGGCCCTGTAACTTGCCTTAGTACTCTGCATGTGCTCATTGATGAAGGGCATGCTTGAAAGTTCCCCTCAGTGCTGTGTTTATCATCATCTGTATAGTGGTAGCTGTGTTGTGGCTGCCAAGTTGTTCAATGAATTTCAGCAGCTGTTGCCTCCTTCTGGAATGGGCACAATCTGTGGCACCAGCACAGCAGCCCCAGATGGAACATTAATTTAGAGGAGCTTTTTCTATTAACATATATGAATGACACATGGATTTGGGATGAAGGAAGGATGGTGTTGTAGCAGCGGGGTAGGACTCGGGAGATCTGGGTTGTAAGCATTCAGGAGACAGAAATGCTTCATATCTTTAGGGAGGTGAGAATGATTCTCCCCGAGTCCCCTATTCCAATGGGAATATGGAGCTTATTTCTAGCCTGGGCAGACTTTGAGATATCACCCCTTAAAAGTTAATATTTTTTATGGATTTTAAAAATTTACTAGTTATAATTTCTCTCTGCCTCTGAGAGCTGTGCAACTGGACTAAGACAGACCAGTTTTGCAACTGGAAGGACATGAAAAATAATATTAAAAAAATTGGTATGTACTCTTACTACGGGTTTTTAATAACAAATAAGCATCTCAACCAATTTTCCAGTAAAATATGTGGCATTAACAAAATGCCTGATGGTTTGGCATGAAGTTTTTACTACTGGCAGTCAGTTAGGATGATTTGCATAGCTCACTGGTGCTCCCAATGCTTGGGCCAAACAAAACATTTATACGAACCTGCTCATTGAGTGTGAGACAGATCACACTCACACAGGATAATCAGGAATACAAATTATAGCCTCAAATTCTATTTCAACTATAGTAGAACCTCAGAGTTACGAACAGCCCAGGAACGGAGGTTGTGCATAACTCTGAAATGTTCATAACTCTGAACAAAATTATAGTAGTTCTTTCAAAAGTTTACAACTGAACATTGACTTAATACAGCTTGAAACTTTAGTATGCAGAAGAAAAATACTGCCCCCCCCTTTAAAAAAAAATATGTTTAAAACAGCACTGTACTGTATTTGGTTTATATTTTTTTTTGGTTTCTGCTGCTGCCTGATTACATACTTCCAGTTCCAAATGAGGTGTGTGATTGATTGGTCAGTTTGTAACTCTGGGATTTGTAATTCTGAGGTTCTCCTGTATGAAAGACTTAATAAAAGGGCACTAGGGAAATAGAAACAAGATTTAAAGAAGCCCAATGGGTAAATTTCAAGGATCTCAATAGGTGTGTCATATAGTCATGATTGGATTTTGTAGAAAGACATGCACTGAACTACATGTCTCCCACCAGAATTTAAGCAGGGGTCCTTATAACTCCAAAGGGATAATACTGAGCAAGTTAGAAATACCTTTGAGCCAGGGGAGCATTTGAATCAGAGATCCTCATGCAGGGCTGAATCTGGGCTGGCACAACTCTACTGACCCCAATGGAGCTCCGCAAGAGTAGAACAGGAAAAATAAAACAGTCATATTCTTCCAAGGTCTGCCCACTTGAGATACCACTCACTAGAAGAGTGTGCAGATGTTCCAAATACGTCCTCCATGCTCTGCCGGGCTATGACTTGGTTTCCCCTCTGTGCAGATCAGGTACCTGTTAGGCTCTGCTAGCCTAATGGACTTGGCTCCTCCTCGATTGTGGAGCTGGGGGGGGGAGAGAGGCACCAACTCTTCCAAATGTTAACAATTAATGGCATCACAAATTATGTCACTTGAAGTTCACCATGCAGATCTTCATAACATGATCTTCCCTCTCCTTCCCTACAAGCTTTGATCAACAGTGAAAGACAACATTCACATTTAAATTTATTCTCATTCAGCAACCAAGTTAACACTTCTTTGAGATGAGCAGTCACCATTTAAGTTTCTCTGAGAGCTTTTAATTCAGGTTCTCTGCATGAGCAGGCAGAGCTCTCTATCTGCTACATTTTGACTTTTTTTTGTTTTTTTGTAACCACAAGGTGAGAGAGACTTTTTAAAAAAGAGGAAGCTAAGATTTGGCACATAAGATTACAGTTGGTAGTAACACTGCACATACACAGCCACCCTCCCAATTTAAACCCTGGTGCTTAGCGAATTTTACCTACAGAGCGAGTCATTCTTTCCCCTCCCACCTCCACCCCAAATTTACATCTAGTCTGTCTTTCTTCCAAGAACATCGTCTTTGTCAGTGTTCAACACCATTGTGCTGAAAGCCTTCGGACCCTCTGGATGGCTGACATTTGTCTAATTCCTCAACAGGCTCTGTGCATTGGAAAGTGAACTGAACTACAATGACAAGCTGAAACAATATACAAAGCAGTGATATTTTTAATAAAGTATTTCATATCCATGATATTGAACGTGTTAGCCATCCATCAAATTCTCTTGGTTAACAGTTTTTTCTCTCATTTCTATAAGAAGCCCTCTTCCATACAAAGACCACAATGAACTACTTTAAGAGGCTTACTGATGAATGGCAAAAGCATGTTAGAGAAAACAAAAGGATTTCATAAAGCCATTTGTAAGTCAAAGGCAAATAATTGTGATAACATTCATGTGAATCTGAAGTTACAATGACAATACAAAACAACACAGTATTAAAACAATCAAATTAGTAAACCCAGAGGGGGAAAAAACCAAGCAAATGGGCCTTTTAGTTTAAGAAAAAGAACCCTAACATTTTCTGGAATAATATCAGGTTCATTTTACAATCACAAAGATTTTACATTTGAGGTATCTGCACTCAGAGCACCAAGTAAGTTGCAGTATTGTGGTTCCGCTTTTTCTGCTTAGCTAGCCTGGCTGAAAATCATTCCTGCAACGTCCAATATCCCAACAGCTATGAATTTGGGGTGGTTTGGTTTTCGTTATTTCATCTCACTAACTAGAAAGTCCATATATCTTCACAATTCTTCCCAATCTGCATGACTCCTTCTCTTCACAAGTTCATCAAACAAAAAGGTTTACTTTATACTGCATTTTGTATACTTAAAGAGTAATATTATAAAAACATAAGTAGCTGTTTGAACCTTCAGATGACACTACATATTGTGTTTAAAATACAATACACAGAGAGTTTATTTTAAAAGCTATAGAAAAGTAATCAGAAACAGTCAGTTGTATTTCACTGTTTTATTATAGTTTCCATGTGTTTTAGGCTAAAAGTTAGAAGGCACCTGAAAGAAGTTGGCACCCTATTTCCTCTACTTCTAACCATATATATGTGGGTAAAGGGGCAATTATGTTCTAATAAAACTCTTTTGCTATTTAAATGCATAGGTATAAGAAAGAATTAAACAGCTGCTGCTATAAATTTTGTCCTTGCATTGTAAAGATGTCAAAAGTGTATGAAAAAAGTAGAAAAATACACTTCAGATTAAACAGGGGTGAATAGATCACTATTAACTCATCCTTTAAAAACAGGCATACATTGTGGCACTATGAACATTTAAAATGCTAATATTTATGAAGACACTTTCAACAGGTTACAAGTGCAGTATGCTAGTCACCCCAAGTCTCCTCATACTCCCACTGAAGTCAATGGCAAAATTCTCATTCAGTTCCCATTGAAGTCAGTCAGGCCCCAGTTGTTTATGAAAATATTTCCAGTAGCGTATGTTTTATGGCAACATGTTTGTGATAATACTTTAAAATGTATCATTTACATGTTTTGATTCAGTAACTTAAAAACCACAATCATGGCACTTATGACTCCAGTTGTAAAAATGCTGGATAGATTTGATATGGAAGTAGTAACCGAACAAAATGGATTCAGGTCAAAAGAAAGTTTAAAAAAAAGTCTGCAGTTAAACTCATTACTCAAATTAATGCAACTTAAGTAGTTATAAAACGAGTTTTTAAAGTTCTAATTTAGCTGAATACTTCTGACATGAAATTCTATGAGTAAGAAGGATCATAAACTAATAGCTTAGAAATGGCCAAAGAGAAAGAGCCAGGTATCAAAATGACCTTTGTATCACCATATTTGTATATATTACATTTTCATATATTCATTTGGGTTCTAAACAGTTCAAACATTTAGCCACAAATTGCTGACAACACAGGCCATAACAGATCAACAGAAGGGCAATAGTTTGGTTGTAAAAAGTTACTTTGAAAAAAACAAGATATTACAGAACTGAAGAAATACAGCATGACTGCTGCTAGTAGCTCAGTTATGAAAGTATACAGCTAAGTTAATTACTATTTTTATCAAGATCATTATAAAATGATGACTGAAATATGGTAAATAAAATCAGTGAAAATCTAGATTGTTTTGAAATTGTTATTAGAAAAATATTCTAATTATAAAAATAATTTGAATGTCAGCACAGAACAATCCGTGCATTTATTTTTTCTTACAGGAAGTCTCAAATTTAGATTTTTGAAAGGAGGTTTGTTAAAAACATAACATATTATTAACAGTGTCTATATAATTTAATACAGAATTAGACACATGCAACATAAAACAGTAAATTAAAAGTGGTTAATAATTTCTGTAAATATCATTACAGAAGATCACAATTTCAGGTATTGTATAGCTGGCTATAGAGAAACACCCCCACACACAAAAACACATTGGTAACCTACTAGAAGTCAATATTGTTTTCTTTCCACTCACTTATTCCATCAATACACAAGACTTGTATATAAACTTTATTAGGCTATTTGTAAATCAGTGATGTTATGGAAAGGCCATCCAATTACATTTGCTTGATCATAATCTGGATAGGATTTGGCTTCTTTTTCCTTAAAAAAAGGGGAACTCAATTATTAAAAGAACCAAATCCTGGATCACTGCACAAAACCTAAATGAGACTTGCACAGGTGACCCATGTGGCTTGGAGTGATAGAATCCTCCCCCTCACCTTAGCAGTGGGGCAAGAGAAATGCTAGTTCCAAAGTGTTGGAGTCTTACGTAGCCCTATTAAAGGAGCTACATTGATCATAATTTGAGGAGAAAATTTAGAGGGGCAGAATAAAAGGATTAAAATTCTCCTTTATTAGATCTTCTCAAAAATGAAAAATTACATAAATCATCAGAAATCTATTGATTCTTGACACAAAAACAGATTTTTCACTTTTAAAAAGAGTTAAGACATAACTGAAGGTAAAGGCATGAACCTATGGAGTTTATCAATAATTGCAGCAGTTGTTTGCAAGGAGTCTTGTCAGAGAATGCACTTTGGAATGTGTATATACACAAACACATATATACACACACACACACACACAAAACCAATACATAAATACACTAATTGAATACAAATACACTATTTTTAAAAAGCTACAGTAAATTAATCTTGATTAAGAGTCAAATTACTTGTCTACCTTGCTGATCTGTAGGTGAAGATCAGGCAACTTTGATCTTGATTGTGTAGCCTAATACCTTAAACTGAAATGCAGACATTACACATTTTTTAAAAGACCTTCACCTCATCCAGGCCTCTCTCCTTAGGGCTAGTCTTCACATACAGTGCTGCAGCAGATCGCTTTAGTGAAGATGCTCCTATACCGATGGGCGTACTTAATCCACCTCCCAGAGAGGCAGTAACAATGTCGACGGGAGAAGTTCTCCCGCCGACAGAGTTGTCTACAAGGGGGGTTAGGCTGGTATAACTACGTCACTCGGGAGGCATGGATTTTTCACACTCTGAGCAACATAGTTATATCGACATAAAAGCCAACACAAGAGAATTACCAGCTGCATGCCACAGACCCCATTCCATTTTACAAGAAATAGGATAATTTAGTTTATAATCTTCCTTCCCAGTAAGGATACTATAAAGAAAAAAAAATCTTAAACTTAAAAATTCGTTTACACACATAGTAAATACATTGCTGTTTTACACCATTGATATCAGGTGACCATAAGGTTATTTCTCTAATAATTTGCTTGTAGTCTGTTTTGCTTGGGAAAGCTATGGAGGTACTTACTGCTCTGCTACAATATAATGCATGTTTTTTTATCCTTGAAAGGGTTTTCAGAAGCAGGTATGCCCATTAGTAAAGGATCTTTCCTGGCATGTTCTTCACAATAGCACATGAGATCTGCTGATGCTTTTGACACCTGGCAAAAAGACACAAAATGGTAAATATTCCCAGATCATTTGCAATAGGATGGAATGGGCTGTGGGATGCATCCATAGCTACAGTGAATTAGTTCTGCATATGGAAGAACAGAGTTTGAGAAATCCATAAAATCTTCAGGTCCAGAGCTAAGGCCACCAAGCATAATGCAAAGGTTTCTGGGATTTGCTTCTTGGACTGGCCTTGATGAGGTTGGTAGAATGGGAAAAAAGTAAGCAAAAACAAGGATAAGCCAGGATGCTGTGTCTTTAAAGGTACTTTGGGAAGATAGGCATGAGTAACTTTACATTTTTCTGAGATTTGAACAGCAGGTTCAGAACAATAGAGCAGGCTTCTAGAAAAAAGATTTTATATGTTTAGATATCATTGTTAATAATCAGTGAAGTGTCATCAATTGACTTACAGTTTCTAGGAAATTGATTCAGTCATTTCCTTGCAAGACATTGCATGTTCCTAATCTCTAGCTGACTGTAAGAAAAGTACCTACGTCAGGTGTATTAACCAATCTGCTGACGTTTGGACGGTCGGTAGACTGCAGAGAGTATTAATAAAATGGAGAATGAAGGCAAGGAATGGTATGTTTAGAACAACAACAAAAAGCCAAATCTTAATAGGTGATATTTTAGCTTAATCAAATTCCTTAACCACTGGGTTGGGCAGGGAGAAAAAGGGAGAAGTTTGGGCTCCTTGTCCACCATAATTTAGGTGCACCCTGTCTCAACTCTCTTCCTCTTTCAAGAGGGCTACAAACCCTTGATCTACCTGCAAAGATATATAAAGTAAAATTTAAACATCCAAAACTAACATGGCTCAATTGGAAAAAAAAACCTGCTTTAAATCACATCTCATCTTCCACCCACTCCATATTATAGATTTAGATTATAAACTCACAGTAGCAAAGATTTGGTCTTCTCACACATCCATAAAGTACCTATTATACTCTTGGTACAATTTTTTCTATAGCAACAATAAGAAAATCTGTAAAGTTCAGTACCACAGATATGAGTGAAACTACCACATTCAAAGATAACCCCTGTGAGATAAACTGCATAATAAAAAAAATATGTACATATATATTGGGAATTTACTAAAATATACCTGCCGTAATTCACATGGTTCATATAAAAAAAGAGAAAGATCAGTAAGAATGTTTCTCACCTTTATTCTTTCGATAGAAGCTTCTATTCTTAACTGCTGTACAGTTCTTCGTGCCTGAGCTATATTGTTTGTTGTGCTAGTTGTTTTGCTAGTCATTTTCAATGAAATCTCTCAAACTCTGTTAAGAAAAACAATTGGTTATTTTTCTAAAAACTGCCTCCCTGTATAGAGGCAATGCCATATGCTGAAAAAGGATTTTTAGTTCTTTTATGTGAAATGTTGACAGATCAGATATTGTACAGAGAAAATACTAGCAAAAAAAAAAAAAAAAAAGTGAACACTGTTGAAGCTTTTATGTATATTTTTTTTCTCCCTAATTCCAAGCCCATTAATATAAATACAGCCTCCACTAATAGTTTCTCCACTTGTATTTCCCTCCCCCAACAGCTTTTTATTAATCTATTTAGTCCCTTAAAGTTGAAGACATTCATAAAAGTATTCCTATGCTCATTTTAAAAACAGACATCTGCACAGAAGATTATGGAAAGTTGTATACTGGGCCAGGTACTAGCTTTAGAGCCATATATACCTCTCCAAAGCTAGAGTATTATTACTGATTATCATGGGATGAACTTTGCCCCTAGGAGGCACTATGTCTGAGATAGATGCCATTTCTCTCCTGCTGGCCTCTGGTTCTCTTGTAGGTGGAGGAGTATTTTACAACCGTCCTTACGTGGCACAGCATCCTTTCCCCAGGCAGATCTGCAGGTCAGCAGAGAAGGAAAGGGGCAGAAAAATGGCCCACTTGCTCATTAGGAGAGAGAATGTCATGTGTGCACCTCCTGCTCTTCTCCCCCCCCAACCTCCTTTACCACACACCCAGATAAGGTTATGTTTGGATTTTGTAGTGACTTAAGAACAATCTTCCAGCTTCTCACAGGAATCAGACATAACAGCTGCCAAAGTCTAGAGAAATACTCCCACTCCACACCCCAAGTCCCCTCCCAACACACACACACACACACACCCGCATGGCTGGCTCAAAATGTGTTTTTGGTAAAAAGAGTGAGCAACTTTGAGACTGATTACACTGGTCTACAATTTTTGAGAAGTCGTCTGCTTCAGAGATAAAATGTGCTATTTATTATGTATTTTGATGTGCTGAATTCAAATATGACAATTAAAACAACTGATTGGCTACTGTTTCTAAAATATTTAAGTTTTTACATTTTATGTCTATGTATATTGTGTAGGTAGTAGAGTTTTAATCATAAATTGTAAACCTAGGTCTTTTCATGTGTTTATGGTTGCTTTACATGATAATACTTCACCTGTCCTGTTTATGTAACACTTTAAAAATCAGCAAAAGGGTTATATAAATAAAATTTATTATGAAACAAAAGGCAAAAAACTATTATGTACATAGTTTAGTCCTATTCAGTGTCTACTCGGCGCTTCTTGGCTTGTCTCTTGTATTCATTAAATGGAGCATCTCTTGTCACTGTCCAGCAATAGTCTGCAAGCATTGATGGGCTCCATTTGCCCTGATAGCGTTTCTCCATTGTTGCAATGTCCTGGTGAAATCGCTCGCCGTGCTCGTCGCTCACTGCTCCGCAGTTCAGTGGAAAAAAATCTAGATGAGAGTGCAAAAAATGTATCTTCAGTGACATGTTGCAACCAAGGCTTTTGTATGCCTTGAGGAGGTTTTCCACCAACAACCTGTAGTTGTCTGCCTTGTTGTTTCCGAGAAAATTTATTGCCACTAACTGGAAGGCTTTCCATGCCGTCTTTTCCTTGCCACGCAGTGCATGGTCAAATGCATCATCTCGAAGAAGTTCACGAATCTGAGGACCAACAAAGACACCTTCCTTTATCTTAGCTTCACTTAACCTTGGAAATTTTCCACGGAGGTACTTGAAAGCTGCTTGTGTTTTGTCAATGGCCTTGACAAAGTTCTTCATCAGACCCAGCTTGATGTGTAAGGGTGGTAACAAAATCTTCCTTGATTCAACAAGTGGTGGATGCTGAACACTTTTCCTCCCAGGCTCCAATGACTGTCGGAGTGGCCAATCTTTCTTGATGTAGTGGGAATCTCTTGCACGACTATCCCAGTCACAGAGAAAACAGCAGTACTTTGTGTATCCAGTCTGCAGACCAAGCAAGAGAGCAACAACCTTCAAATCGCCACAAAGCTGCCACTGATGTTGGTCATAGTTTATGCACCTCAAAAGTTGTTTCATGTTGTCATAGGTTTCCTTCATATGGACTGCATGACCAACTGGAATTGATGGCAAAACATTGCTATTATGCAGTAAAACAGCTTTAAGACTCGTCTTCGATGAATCAATGAACAGTCTCCACTCATCTGGATCGTGAACGATGTCGAGGGCTGCCATCACACCATCGATGTTGTTGCAGGCTACAAGATCACCTTCCATGAAGAAGAATGGGACAAGATCCTTTTGACGGTCACGGAACATGGAAACCCTAACATCACCTGCCAGGAGATTCCACAGCTGTAGTCTGGAGCCCAACAGCTCTGCCTTACTCTTGGGTAGTTCCAAATCCCTGACAAGGTCATTCAGTTCACTTTGTGTTATGAGGTGTGGTTCAGAGGAGGAGGATGGGAGAAAATGTGGGTCCTGTGACATTGATGGTTCAGGACCAGAAGTTTCATCCTCTTCCTCGTCTGACTCAAGTGAGAATGATTCTGGTGCATCAGGAACCGGCAGTCCTTCTCCGTGGGGTACTGGGCGTATAGCTGATGGAATGTTTGGATAATGCACAGTCCACTTTTTCTTCTTTGACACACCTTTCCCAACTGGAGGCACCATGCAGAAGTAACAATTGCTGGTATGATCTGTTGGCTCTCTCCAAATCATTGGCACTGCAAAAGGCATAGATTTCCTTTTCCTGTTCAACCACTGGTGAAGATTTGTTGCACAAGTGTTGCAGCATATGTGTGGGGCCCACCTCTTGTCCTGATCTCCAATTTTGCAGCCAAAATAAAGGTGATAGGCTTTCTTAACCATAGTGGTTATACTGCGCTTCTGTGATGCAAAAGTCACTTCACCACAAACATAGCAGAAGTTATCTGCACAAGTACGAGGCATCTCTGCTCACTTTGGCTAAACAGAAATGTGTCCCTTTGCAAAATCAAACACTGACAAATAAGAGAGCACGACACTGTATGATTTCTAGAGCTGATATAGGGCAATTTGTTCAGCAGAGTGATGTAAGCTTCGTTATGGTTGCATCATCCATGACTTCTAGGAATAACATGATGCAATTCATATCATGTATGACGCAATACCAGCTTCAGATTGCATCATTCATTGTTTTGCCTAAAAAGCAAGTACTGTCCAAACCCAGTCATAGATTTATTCATAGATCCAGTCAAAGATGTATTTTAGTCATTTCTGGTTTAAATTGAGATCCCTTCCCTTTATAACTCACTTATCCTCCCCCATTCCCAAGTCAAGGGTCGTATATACTGACTCAATAGCACATCTTGAAAACTAGAGCCAATCAACAATTTTAAGCATCATTTTCGTTCTCAGTGACCCAGAATTAGTAAAGTTTGACTACATTTATTTCAGAAGCATTTTGGCTGCAGAGCAGTGTTATACTTTTCTTCTCAGGATGAGAATTCGAAGCAGCACTCAGGCCACACAGTTTTAACAGTGCTGCACTTGGACACTACCCATTGTGTTCAGTTGATCTCAGCAGCACATGACTGCAATTTGATCAAAGCTTTTGGACGTTGACTCGATAGTGTGTAAAGTTAGCCTCTGTGAAGGCATGTGAGTGATTAGAGTGCAGGTTTTGATCACAGACAGTTCAAGCCTGTGACTAAACCAGTGCCACTAAATCAGAGCATCTCACTGAGTCATGCACAGAAATACCAGATTTGCTCTCAGTATCACAGACAACCAAATCCTAAGAAGTAGCTAACGAGAACCCTGTGTAAGGCCACACTGCGACAAGCATGAGAGCAAAGCTGTCACTGTGCCAGATCCAACTCAATGATAATGAAGAAGAAAAAAAAGAAAGAAAACTGCTGTCTAAATCAAAACTGCTGCAAAAGTAAATAATTAAGCATAACTGTTTGCTCAGACTGGTGTTTTCATCTGGCAGGCATAATGGTGGTCTCTTTACAAAGACTCTTAAAAGATTCCACTATTATGGCCATAGACATGTATTTCATAATGTCTGTCTGCTCATGATACATTACTCTGCCAACTTCTACACCATTCACATTTCAATATCTATCAAATCACAGGGTGGCCTCTGAAAGTTGTGTAATAAGCAAGTTCTAAAGACATCATGTGATCAAGCCATTTTCAGTTTCTTACACACGCATGGAGGACTACAGGATTGTGGAGGACTTCACTGCTCAACTATTGTTCCCCCCAGCCCCCCCAATAAGTCCTGCTGAAGCATCATCTTTGCAAAGTCTTCTTTCTAAAAGACCTCTGTATCTTTGATTTACCATCACTTCCTTATTACAATAATATTGTAATAAAGGTGCAAAACACTGAAATGCTGGCAAGAGATGGATCTTTGTTTCCTGACCCTCATCATAGGCTAGGGTCATGGTCACAAAAGGTTATACCTCTGTTACATGGCCAGGGTCAGTATCCACTCTCAGTTAGCTGCTGTTACATTTTGACTTTTTTTTTTTTTAAAGGCAAATGCAAATGAAGCATATCATCAGTCAAGACCAACCACAAAACAATGTGGCAAATTAAACAACACGTGAACAGAGACATCTAGGATGCATAAGGGTACTCTTAAAAAGATCAAGAAAGATGAGTCCAAGGAATTTGCCTATTTCACGATGGATTTAATCACTACTGAGGCTGAAGTCTCATTTTTTGAGCAGAAAATTTTGAGGCTTTGCTAAAGGTAGAACGGGCTATACTGGATCTCATAGCAAAGAAAGACAATCCTGGCCCTTATGTTCAAAAAATTATCCTTGATGAGCAAATGCAGCTCCCATTGAAAACGTTGGCCTAAGGTGACTTGCCCGAAGCCTCAAAGTGAATTATTGGAAGAGCTGGGGAAAGATCTCCTTGGCCTAGTTCTCCAGGCGCTGAACACAGTTAGTTCCTCTGCACTTCGGTTGGAGCTAGCTTGCGCAGCACTCCCAAAAAGTAAGGCTGCATGAGTCCTGGC